ATTAGCCACTTTTGCGTTCTCAATGCATAATACTTTGAAGCATTTTTGGTAACTGTACTAAGATGAACATCAAATGGCGGAATTTGAATTTTGATTCTAATGAATTCACTGCTCTGGGTGGCTTGCTATCAGATGAAATCTTCAAACATATATGTGTGGTAACATTCGTACTATTTCCTTTATTTTCCCTGATGAAGATTTCTTGCATTTATTATTGTTTTCCAAATTTATTTACTTTCCAGTTGACCTGGAGAAATCATCTTTAAGTAACGATTAACCATTGCCTCCAGAAAACTTGAATCATACTAAATAGACTATGTTGACTGTTATACTCATTATCAAATGAAAACTGTTTCTAATACTGTTAGTCTAATTTACCTGGTCCGTATTCTGTTCTCTCCGGATCCTCCTCAGGCATATGTGACCGGAGATGCCATGCCAGAAGCCTATACAGTGGATTCCACTCACGTGGTTGTCGAGACACGTGCCTCGGGAGTTCAACACACAATGACGGAATCACGTCCGAGCCGGGTAGTCTGTACCGGGACGGGGTTGCAGCAAGCCTATCTTAACCAAACGAACACATTCACTGTGAACGCCACACAAGCCGGTAAGTATCAAGGTTCGCCTAGCTACTCCTGGCATTTACTACTACCATATCGTCGTCCGGTGTTTGCAGAATAGGCTCAGAATAGGAACAAAGCTCTTATTCCGTTAAGGTGATTATATGAAGCGAGAATGGTAAACTTCATGTACTATTTCTTGGTATCGTCTCGGAGTTCTAGGAAGTTAACCTATCTCCTTTCATAGTCACAGGCTGCTGCTATGTTCCCTTTTTTCCGTTATCTCTGTATCGATAAATATTTTGATGTGATATTGCTGAGCGATAAATTTGTTTTGTGCAGCTACGCATAATTTTTGGTTGCTGAGATAACTTTAAACCACTTTGTCCCAAACCATAGAAAAAATGACCCAGAATTATTGTGAATGAGAAAAAGATGTATTGCACATAATGAACGGAGAATGTCTTAATAATGCGTTAAATGTTCAAAATAACCAAACCCGTTCAGAATGTATTACTCTTTCCTCCGTTTTCCCTATTCCTTCGGACTGCAGGCCATGATGTTCTCTACGTGGGTGTGTCTGGGCCCGTAGTGGCTTGTGAAGAAGTCAATATCAAACACCTGGGACAAGGACAATATGCAGTTAACTATGTGGTCCGGGATCGCGGTCGACACCTAATCATGGTTAAATGGGGCGATCAACACGTGCCCGGAAGCCCGTTCGTTGTGAATGTGTTGTAATATGACAATACGAAAACATAATAGGCCAAACAAGCACCAATCAGTGCATATCGATCAAACACAGGCATACACATATGAATGAGAAAAAACCTAATACACATAAACACTCAGACACCTATTTAACTAGTCAGCTTCACGCGCCCGTCCTTCAGTTAACAACAAGAAGGAGGACAAAAAACACAAAACAGCAGACTTTGTGCTACGGCCTCCCTTGATGCAATTTACAAACACAATACTCTGATACTAAACCAAACTTTAACCAACGCGTTCAGGTAGCTATAGCCATTTCGATTTCGCAGCGGATTAGTCAACTTGCAACCTGCAGGGTTTGTAGGTCTGAGAGTCCGCATCCTCCTAACTAGAAAAATGGCTCTGAACGAATTTTGAACATCACAAAGCACATTTCGTACATTGTGTACGATGCTGTTTCAGTATTTTCACTTTCTTTTCTTCTGATTTTATTTTGTGAGTCAGGCACTCTGCCCGCCTTCCACAAAGCGTAATGGCCGCTACTATTACATGAAGCATCATCCTAATTCGCTAAAATCGTATCCTTGCCGGAATTATGGCGTGAAAGATGAGCCTCAACGGGTATCAAAAGCTGGTCGCATTTGTTTCGC